AAAACTAGTTTGTTTAACACAATATTATTAATGTTTATTGTATTATTTAATTAAAAATTTTGTGAAATTAACAATGCTCGGACTGTTCACACACACATATAATCAAAGAAAATTTTTTTTTTTATTATTTTTCATTAAACGATTTTAGAAATTATTGGTTCGAAAAAGTTTTTCAAACATGAATTAAACAAGTTTTCTCTCTCTCTCTATCTCTCTCTCGAAAAAAAAAATTATAATAAAGTTAATTTTTTTGTAAATCACAATTTTTATTGTACATTAATATAAATTTCATCCCTGCATGATTTTCATTTTGAAAAAAAAAAATTTATATTTTAAATTATTGAAGGGTAAATTTTTTGATAATCGTATAACATCGTTAGAATCAATAAGATCATTTGCTCGTTTTTTATATCACAAATTTTAATTTTTGTAATCACACAACATAATCAAATATATTTTTCTTTTTACATTCATTCCTACAAGTATTTTTTTTTTCATGAAAGATTTTTTTTATCAAACCAATCATAGTTTTCGCGCCTTAATCGAACAATTTTTTTTTTCACACATTTTTTAATGTCAATTGATGATAATAAAATGTCAACAAATATATTTTTAAAAAAAAAACATGCAAGATTAAACAAATGCTGATGAATTTTTAATGAACAGCCCGATTTTTTCCGCTTTTGTGATTATTTTTTAATGTTATACTAATCCTACATGATTGCGGCAATTTCTGCTTATGAATGAGAGAGTAAGCTTAATTTCTTTGATGTGTAGATCACTTTGTGGATTAAATCATTTTGAAACGTGTCAAACCAATTTAGAAAGAAATGAATTCATTCTTAATTGGAAGAGAATTTTTTTTTTTTTGATAGCATCATGACTTCTGAATGGGGAGTAATACCCGATAACGTTAAATTACAAAATCCTATCAGTTAAATATTAAACCTTGTATGGTTAGGATATGAAATGTTTGATACGATGATATCATTGGAGTTTTCCTCTATCTTATCGTAGAAATGAAAAATACAATTTTTTTCCCTCACCTCATTCTTTATTTTTTTTTTTTCTACGGGTAATCCTAAATAGAGCAAATGAAATACCGAAATAATCACTTTTGATGTGCAATACATATTATTGCATTATTACATTATTATTTGACATATTACAGATTCTCTGAATTATCACCAGACATAATGACAATCTTTTTGTTGATCTGAATCAAATATTCTCAGTGATAAGAATTTGCCATACAATTTTGTGGTTCTTTTTTTTGTCCGGGCACTCGGGCACTGACCACTTACAGTTTCGAACATGATCGATCCGTTTATCAGAAAATGTCACATGCGATATTTCCGAATTCAAAAAAAAAAAATTTTAAACTAATGGGTGTTATTCCATAAAATTATTAAATTCCTTTGGTCAACAATATTTAAAAAAATTTAAACAATAGATACAAAAAATGTCAACTCCAAAGAAATGATTGGAATAATTTTGATAATGCAACATGTACTAAAGAATAATTTATTATTGCGTAATATTCGAATGATAAATGAATGTCTATAAAAATGTTGGTTCAAGTACTTGCCTGATGAGAAAATTTTAAGGAATAAAGATAAACAAACGTCTAAACATGGTTACATCCAAGCTAATTATTATATAACTTTGTATCCATAATGGGAACTAATAAAAAGCTAATATCACTAGATCTCTTTTAGGACTCATTTTCATAAACGTTAAACGAATTAATTGGCCCTGATAAGGGTTGTGGAATATTTTTTTTCTACCATAAACAGCAAATAAAATTTCGCTTGAACTTTTCATTATCTCTTACACATCTGTTGGTAATCCCAATAATATTAAATATAATTAATAAATATCACATAACAAGATAATATTAATTTTTAATTAATATGAATTTTAATTCATTTTTTATAAATTTTCATGTTGTGTTAAGTAAATTTGAACACAATATAAATAAATAGAGTACTATTTTTGATCCGGATGATACCATCGAAAACGTGCTTTTGACACTTTATACCCTTATAATTTTTTTTTTTTTGTTGAAGATCGGTTCCCCTCACCTTTACAATACAATCCAATATTTATTTCCTTGTGGAGGTGTCACGTCGTTCATATCTGTAGAGAAACACATGAATGTTAAAAGTAATAATATTATTTACTTCAGATTGATTAACACACTCCTAAATCAAAAAAAATCGGGATAGTTTCTCAAAAGACAGAATTCCACATGCATTTACATTGAACTTGTCACAAAAATTTCATGAAATTGCCTTTTTAAACATCTTTTTGTAAATAATTCGTGATTTTCCTATTTTTTTTTTTTTTTCTGTGGTTTGGGGGGAAGGATTTCCGAGATAATATAAATAAAAATTATTTTTTTAGAATAAGTATAGTTTAAAAATATGTTACTTATGATGATGATATGGTGATACTATGGTGATTTTAGCATGTGAAGGACAGAAGACAAAGTAAAAGATGATGTGCCAACTTATGCCAAAAGGATTTGCATTGGTTTCTCAAAATTTAACCACGATATTACAAACTTATTTTAGAGATTTATTTCGTATTACTTATATTATATAAAAAAAAAGCCCCTCAATTTTTCAACACATATATATATATATCTCACCCATCTACCTGTCGGTCTCGTTTTTCTACAAAGTATTTTTTTTTTTTTTTAAAAATAACATCTATCATAAAAATTTTCTAGCCAATTATATTAGGATAAAAAAATTTTTTTTTTTTTTTATATATATTTTACAATATTACAATTTATATTGTATTAAAATAAAAAAAAAAAATTTGAATAAAATATTTATTTCCTTCGAGAACTTTCATTAAAAAAAATCAATTGTACATCTATTTTCCTTCATCCGATGTTGGATGTGTTATGCTTGTGTCTCTCTCACAATTTGGCTCCAATGGCTGTCTTAGCAAAAGAACAACCGAGACCAGTTGACAAGAAAAACATTAATATTGTTAAACAAGCGGAATGTAATGCAGCTTGGAAAAGTGGTTACTATGCAAGACCACAAGGTAGATTACCAAAGCATGACGATAAAAACCACTTCAAAAATGGAAGGCGACAATGCCGTAAAATTAAGGAACTATTGGTCACGAAAGAAGGAACGGAACAAAAGAATCAAGAGACCCCTCAATTCGAGAATGGAAAGGTGCCGCCGATAATGAAATACGACCAAAAAATGTAAGCAGTTCTGTTGATTGTGCATCTTCCGAATCCTCCCGAAAATTTCCGTTCCTAACTTTACATTTTTTCTCTTCATTATTTAGAAGCACAAGTTATACACCCATCACCTTAATCGTTCACGTTCTAATAATATGCCAACATCTTTACCTCTTGTACATCACGTCCCCAACATGGATACGCTTTGCGTCATTCACACAATTGGTATACTTCACCACTACTTGCTTTCACATTGCAATGTTACTTGCAAATGTGTTCAAGAAGACACAATTGGAGCGAGCATTTGTGTTATATGGAACTTGGATAATTTGGATGGGTTGGGCGATGTGTTTGTGGTTTGTCCGCTCTGAAGATAGACCGGATTCCATTTTATTTCGGTCCCTCACATCAGATGAAGAAGATATGTCCGAACTTGAGTACCTTCTTGCTCCGATGGACGTTGCCTCGTTCCTCATGCACGGGAAATGGTCAACGACTACCTTACCTATATTTTCGTTCTTCCTTTTACTCGTTATTCGTCGAAATCATTGGGGTTTGATCGTTTGGGAACATTTGGTCTTGCTAGAATATTCAAGAAACCTCAAGTGGTATCGTTCATGGTGCGTTGGAACCGGTGCCGGTTGGATGCTTACGTGGGAAGCTGCAAGAATTTGGCTTCAGATTCCATTATCTTTTCCTAATTCCGAAGGTAGCATCGTTTTTTATAAAACTGACCTTCCATCGTTTCCTGGCTTATTCAACGTCCTCATTGCTAGTGTTATCGCCGGCATCTTTATGATGTGTTGGTGGAGCTTCTGGACATTTCAATATCGAGGAGTCATATGGAAGAAAGAATTCAAGGAAGGTGTTGTCGTATGGCTATCGGATGGTTGGATGCGCGTTGGCGGAATCGGTTGTTGAAAGAAAAATCAAATTATGGGTGTTAATTGGACAATCATTTCTTTTATTTTTATTTTGTTGATTTTTTCGGCGAATAAAGATATTCCAATTTTTGATTTGATTCACTGGACATTTTTTTTTAAGAGTTTTAGAATCTCTCCATCTCCCCTTCAAAATTTTTCATTTTTCATTTTTTTAATTTTGTAAATTTCATTCCAAAAAAAAAATTCCTACGCTACACATGCGTATTAAAACAATTATTATTATTTTTTTTTCTTTTTATCATTTTGTAAATATTAGTTTTCCCCCCACCCGGATAGTTTTTATTCAATAATATTTAACAATTCCGAAAAAAAAAAGAGATTAAAAAATAACCAAAATTCAAAAATCAAAGATCAAAAGATCAAAAAAAAAAAAAAATACAATTTCAATGCATTTTCCTTTTTTTCAAAAAAAAAAAAAAAAAAAAAAAAAAAAAGAATTATTATTATTTCTCATTTCGAGATTTATGAAAATTTTTTTTCATAAAAACCAAAAGTATTTGTATTTTTAATAATCATAGTTTAAAATAAAAAATTTCTTAATATTATTTCATTATTTACAATTTTGTTTCGTTTAAAGATTGTGATGATGAATGATGTAATACGATTGATTGATAACGTTTATCATATTAAAAACCATAAAAAGATAAAACTAAACTTTCACTTCCTCTAAAGGAATTATTTTACAGATTTTGGATTAGATCTTTCCTGCACATCTTATCTTAAGTTACTAATTATAGTATCGACATTTCACAAAGCAGTCACCTGCCAGTTTGCATTTTTTTTTTCTCTATAATTATTTAAGTTCAACCCTTTCTTTACCAGTTAAAGCAAAACAAAAATTTCTCAAAATGTTAAAACACAATAAGGTTCGGTCCGTCTTAGGACTTGTTTTATTTGCATTTATTCTATTGCCCAATATACAAAGTCGGCATGTGCAATCAACTTTTGAGTTGAATCAGTACAATGACTTTGAGTCAATCTCGGAGGGTTTTAGGTTAATCCAGACAAGCGAAGAGTCGCCGCCAGAATGGATGAGCCAGGGCGAAATTCTCACTTTATTCCGGAACAATATCAAGTTCATGGACGTAACGGATTTTTTAGATTTGGGAACACATCTAAAGACCACTCTGAAGCATGGTAATTTTATTTTTGTGAAATTATGACATTGTAGATCAATTTGTAATTTTCTTTTTCTGTCATAGTGTACCCAGCGGTACCCTTGTTTCAAGATGAAGTCAATGGTTTTATTAGAAACCTGACTACAACAACTATCCACGAAAACCTCGTTAAATTTACTTCCTTCCATAATCGATATTATCGATCTTCGTACGGGGAGCAATCTTCTAAATGGCTCTACAGCCAAATTTTCGATATAATTCAAGACGCGAACGATGCAAATCTTGATGTTGACGTCTCTGTGCGCAAGTTCACACACAGCTGGGCGCAAAAATCAATTATTGCACGGTATGAGAACTCGTAATTTAAGATTGTTTGTTAACACTTTATGATCAACGAACTGATAAACTTTATGATTTCCTCGATAAGTTTCGAAGGGAGTGATCCCGAGAAACAGAATCAAGTTGTTATTGTCGGTGCCCATCAGGATTCCATTAATATGGTGAGATGAACAAAACGATAAATATTGCGAAAATAAGTTATGATAACAATTCTTGCTGAATAATTTTTCATCATCCATTTTCTCTAGTGGTTGCCAGCTTTCGGACGAGCTCCGGGGGGTATTTATTTTTGAAAATATCTGCCGAATTTTTTTTTTTTTCAAAAGGTCGATTTCAATTTTTAAGATTTTTCGAAAAATTAATTATAGCTGATGACGACGGAAGCGGCACGGTCACCATTTTGGAAGCCTTCCGTGTGCTAGTTGCCGGACAATTTCGTCCAGTGAGACCTGTCGAATTCCATTGGTATTCTGCTGAAGAAGCTGGACTCCTCGGTTCACAAGCTATTGCCTTGGAATATGAAAAGGAAGGGAAAGATGTTGTTGGAATGATTCAGGTATGGTTAATCCTTGTTAATCGAAATGTTTGGCCCCACCCATGAATAATATTCCCATGGATTATTTTTCATATCTGATCAATTTTATTTAGAACGACATGACAGGGTATGTCGGTAAAAATAAGGAATCGTTTGGCATCGTCGTTGACTTTGTCGATGAGGACTTGACCACTTTCTTAAAGAAATTGGTCGGCGCTTATACCGAAATTCCATTTACAGAAACAAAATGCGGGTTAGCAAAAGATTACTTTTAATTTTTAATTTTCTTTCTGTTTTCCGAGAATGTGAAAATTTATTTTATTTTTTTTTAGTTACGCTTGTTCTGATCATGCCTCTTGGAGAAAGGTTGGTGTTGTTGTGTCAATTCGAAGATGTAATTTTAAAATTTGAGATTTTTTCTCATTTGCAATTTATTTTTTTAGGCCGGTTTTCCCTCTGCATTTGCAATCGAATCTGAATTTAGCGATTCGAATCCTCACATCCATTCGACAAATGATATTGTCGATCATCTTAGTTTCGAGCATATGTTAGAGTTCTCCAAAGTAGGTTTTTGTTTTTTAATATTTGGGGAGAAAAGTTATGACACTGATTGATACTAATTACCCCTTTGAATTCTTTTCAGCTTGCCGTCAGTTTCGCTGTCGAGCTGAGCCATTCGTAAAAAAAAAAAAAAAAAAAAAAAAAATTTTAAAAAAAAATTAAATTAAACCTTATTTAAAAAAATTGTAATTTTTATCTTTCTACTTTTGTAAAATAATACGATGTATGTTTATTATGAGTTGTTACAAAAACAAACTTCAGAATTAATTAAATAAATTACAATTAATTCACCCTTCCACCGATAAAATTAATAATCTACTTGACGCAACAATTGACAAAATAAAATATAACGAACGTAAATAAGGGTGACACTTGCAGAAACTTGTATTGACCTTTTTATTATTATGTATTGGATGTTGTACCGAGGATGTTCTACCAAAAAAAAATTTTTCGTACAACTCAAAGTCGAAGTATTCATCATCCAATAAAATAGCGAACTTTTGCGTAGTTTCACGGCATTTATTAAGGGCGCTCACGAAAGTGTGAGGTTAATAAACCAAAAGGTTACAAACACAGCGGATTACGGTACACGACGTATTTCCATTTTCTTTTTTATTCGGTTTATTTGTCGCGATATTTGAAACGAGGTGATTTATCAGATATATAAAGAAACCACGAGATTTTTTTTTTCTTTTAACTTGCTTTCGCCTTTCCTTCCAATTCACCATAACTCCTTCTTAATTTTTGGATTTGAAATCCAGTAACGACCGAACCCACTCTCTTGACTTAACCTTCGAAAACTTTTTTTTGGAAAAAAAAAAGACGAGGAATATCTTTGAGGATTTATTATTATTATTATTTTTTTTTTTTTTCTTTTTGAGCATAAAGGAAGAAATAAGATATATATCAAATAAAAAAAATGTCCAGTAAAATGTCTTCACGTTCTCGTCGCCGTAAGCACGCCGTGTCTCAACTGAACTTAATGGTAGTAGGTTTTCGTTCACTTGGTAAGACGTCCTTCATCCGCATGCTTTTTGAGACGCTCAACATCCGTAAAAATTCAAAAGAAGAGACGGAGCTACCTGCTTCATTATTTCAAAGCGCTGAAAGTGTGCGGGACGCAGAAGAAGCGCGCACGAAAGAATTATATTCTTTCACTTTGGATATTGAAGAAGAAGGAGAAAAAATTTCTTTGACTCTAGTCGATTGTCCTGGGTTTGTGAGGGATAATGAACTTCGACTTGATGTACAGGTTACAGAAGCATTGAGATATATTGAAGCGCAATTTGATCAAACATTAGCCGAGGTAAAAAAAAACGACTTTCATTAATTTATAAAAATGTCATGTTATCACTGCTAGAAGGTTTCCTATTTGAAAATTTTTTATGAATGTAACAATTCTCGAATATCAAAAGAAATAATTTCGAATGGTAAACAAAAAAACCTCGATTATTCGAGTATTGAGAGATCCAAATCTAAAATAGTAGATCGGTTTGTTGATTTGCTTTTTCTCTCTCTTTTTACACCAAATATGGGTAAAAAAAAAAAAAAAAGAAAAGGGTTTCTTACGAATTAAATATAAGCCAATAATATTTTTAACATACAAATCAATTTCGTCACCTAAAAAGACTAGCATCATTTTTGGATATTTATCTAACGAATTCATTATTATTCTACTTATTACTTTTATTATAGGAAACCAAAGTAAAACGGAATCCAAAAGCTCAAGATAGTCAAATTCATGCTTGCCTGTACTTTATCGATAACGCAAATAACGGTTTAACCGAACAAGATATTCGCATTTTAAAACGGTTAACCGCTCGTGTTAATGTTATCCCGGTAGTTGCTAAAGCAGATTTGCTCACCAACACGCAACTTGCAAACCTAAAAGAAGCTATTAAAAAGGATTTAAAGGCGCACCAGATTCCTGTTTTCGACTTTCCAGTTGACGAAGAAGAAGTGGAACCAGAGGTGGCAGTTGAAATTGCAAACGCTCAATCTCAAATTCCATTTTCTATAATTGCTCCAGAAGATGCTGATATTACGGATCCAAACACGGGGGAGAAGATTCGGGGACGTCAATATGCTTGGGGCATCATTGATTGCTTGAACCCAATTCATTGCGACTTTCTCGTATTGAGGAATGTTCTTTTATCGAGCCACCGTAAACTTTTCAAGGATATTACCCTGGAGGTGTTTTACGAACAATATCGTACTGAGAGATTGATGGCCAGAAAGGCGAGTAAGATGATCACCAAGGAACAGAAGAAGAAACTGATGGAGGATTTGTCGGAAATTTAAAGTGATTGGAAGATCAATTTATTTTTCTATTGTAGTTTTATTATTGTCATTTCTTTGTAAATTATTGTCGAAATTCTTTTTTTTTTTTTTTTTTTTTTTTTTTTTTTTTTATTTACTTTTAATAAAAATTTATGATTAGCACCTTTCTATCTAGTATGGAGGGATTGGTAAATAAAAAAAAAATTATATTTCCTTTACCATGTTAACTTTAAGGTTTACCTTTTTTTTTCTTTTCTTTTCTTTCTCTTTCCCCATACCTCAGGTCTAATAATACTCAACAGAAATTGACACCGTATTGGAAACTTAATGCCCGACCGGTTTTCGGGCTTACATCTCCCATTACGAAAATGAAGACACCTTTTCTTTCTTCTTTTTTTCTTTTTTTTTTTTTAAAAAAAAAAAATATATATAATATTTATATAAATTTTTTTTTTTCTAAAAAAAAAAAATAAAAAGAAATAATCTCCTCCAAACTCCATATTATTTCCGACTTTCCAAACTTGGTCGTTCTGTTTAATTTCTTTATATATAATTTAATTTCTTAAACCTTTTTTTTTTTTTTTTTTTTTTTTTTTAAATATTACATAACTTCCATTCATTTCTTCTTCATGTAATTAATTAATTAGACTTTGGCAATTTTTCTTGATTGTTGGTGCAAAAAGTAATTTAATTCTATAATTCATTTATATATTGAAGCACCCTTGGATTTTTATTTGTTTTGTCAAAATTTTGTTAGAAAAAAAAAAAAAAAAGAATCTCATGAATAAATCACAAAATAGCATTTATATATATACAGTGGCGATCATAAATTATGCAACAAAAAAAAAAATTTCATTAAAACGAAATATTTTTTGTTAATTACG